GTCTCACTTCCTGTTCTATTAGATTTAGTATATCCAGTTTTATGTTGATGTCTTTGGTCCACTTGGTTAAGTTGTATGCAGGGTGATAGATATAGATCTATTTGCATTCTTCTGGATGATTCTTGTAGTCACCCAGTTAGACCAGCACCATTTGTTGAAGATGCTTTCTTTTTTTCCATGGTATATTTTCTTTCTTTGTCAAAAATCATCTCTCCATAGGTGTGTGGGTTTATTTCAGGGTCTTCAATTCGATTCATTGGCCAACCTGTCTGACTGTGTACCAATACCATACAGTTTTCATTACTATTGCTCTGTAGTACAACTTGAGGTTAGGAGTCAGGGATGGTGATACCTCTGGAAGTTCTTTTATTGTTCAGGGTTGTTTTCACTATCTTGGGTTTTTTGTTTTTCCATATGAAGTTGAGAATTGTTCTTTCAAGGTCTGTAAACATTTTGTTAGAATTTTGATGGTATTGCGTTGGCTCTATAGATTGACTTTGGTTAATGTGTCCATTTTCACTATGTTAATCCTACTGGTCCATGAGCATGGAAGATCTTTACATCTTCTGATATCTTCTTCAGTTTCTTTCTTCAGAGACTTGAAGTTCTTGACATACAGGTCTTTCACTTGCTTGGTTAGAGTTAGACCAAGATATTTTATATTATTCATGGCTATTGTAAAAACTTTTGTTTCCCCAATTTCTTTCTCATCCTGTTTATCATTTGTATAAAAGAGGACTACTGATTTCTTTGAGTTAGTTTTGTATCCAGCCACTTTGTTGAACATGGTTATCAGCTGTAGGAGTTCTCTGGTAGAATTTTTTGGGGGTCACTTAAGTATACTATCAAATATTGATACTTTGACTTCTTCTTTTCCAATTTCTATCCCCATGATCTCCTTTAGTTGTCTTATTGCTCTGGCTAGAACTTCAAGTACTATACTGAATAGATAGGGAGAGAGTAGGCAGTCTTGTCTTGTCCCTGCTTTTAGTGGAATTGTTTTTGTTTTTACAAATACGGACAACAAGGTAGTGGAAAGATAAGAAGCAAGAAGAAGTATGAAGAGGCTAGCTCAGAAGTCACTGCAAGCACCCTGGCAGCACAGATGACAGAACTAAGATTGTTATGGATAAGAAGAGTGTTTTAACCCTAATATTCCTTTTTATTCTATCGGAACCAAGACAGTGGTGAAGGTGGGAACTAGACATAGTGGAGAAACTTTAAGTGTGAATGATGGAAAGATGGTGATATTTTGGATGTGTATAAAAGGTGGGAAGGAGGAGAGATGCTCATGGTTTTGTTAGAGCTGTCACATATAATCAGATACATTCATACACCACCACCACCATTACCACCACCACTACCACCACCAATCCACCACCACCTACACAGTTCTTTTAAAGAAGAGAGGAAATTATCTCAGGTGAGGTATCAGAAGCTTTCATCAGTGGTTTTTGTTTTGTTTGTGTATGTGTATGTGTGTGTGTGTGTGTGTGTGTGTGTGTGTGTGTGTTTGTTTTTTATTCACAGTATAACAGTAGTAGTCTTTCTGTCTGGACCTTTTAGGCAAGAAAAAGAATTGATTGTACCTTATCTGGTGTTGTTCTTTTCACACTGAGGCAAAACAATTCTGAGTCACCTACCTCCTCTTCCTAGAGTTCGTATTGGCCTAATAGCCTAAACCCACACCATTGTTAGGTACTGATCTGGGTTTGCCCTAAGATGCTCCAAGTTGGCCCTACATGTACCCAACCCTGTTTTCTCATATTCGTTCAGTGCTTCTTTAGAATGGAGTTATGTGATCCTGGCCCTTTCTTCTCTCTCTCTCTCTCTCTCTCTCTCTCTCTCTCTCTCTCTCTCTCTCTCTCTCTCTTAATTGGATGTTTTATTTACATTTCATATGTTGTCCCCTTACCCTATCCCCCACCCACCCAGGAACCCCCTATCCCCTCACCCCTCCTCCTGCTTCTCTGCAAATGTACCCCTACCTACCCCCCCACTCCCACCTCCCCACCCTCAAATTCCCACCCCCTGGAGTGTCCACCCTTCATGAGGCCAAGGATCTCTTCTCCCACCTATGCCCAGCAGGGCCCTCCTCTCTTATGTATACAGCTGAAGCCATGGGTCCCTCCCTAAGTGCTCCCAGGCTGGTTGTTTAGACCCTGGGAGCTGTGGTTGGTTGGTATTGTTGTCCTCCTCATGGGGCCACAAACCCTTTCAGCTCCAATGGCATTAATCTTAAATCTCCAATGGTATTTCTCTTAAAAGGAAAGCTAGATACAAGGTTTCAGAGGTTGTGATAGAAGTTTGGATGGCGACACCTTTCAAACTTGGGAGGTCAGCCTGCATCTTCTGTGTGCACTTTGCCATTATTTACTATAATGCATCAGTGTGGGCTGCTGATGTTAAACCGGGCCCAGGGAACTTGAGGTTGAGGGAGGATGAGAAGCCAAGTTTAACTGCATCTCAGGATGCTGAGCCTGGGAGCTACAGCTCCTACATCAACTCATTGCAAGTCAAATTAAGGGAATAATACAAACCTAGTAGATATTTAATGAGAGATTATTTCTGGAGATTATAAGGATACAGAAATTGCAAATGAATCCCTGACCTTTTCTGAGCCTTGGCTCAGTGAATGGGCTGAATCACCTGCTCAAGGGGATTAAGGACAGCCGCATCCACCTGGCAGGCTACTTTCTCAGTCATTTGCAAACTCTGCTCCATGGTGATAGTGTTCCAGACCTTTTAGTGGGAATTCACTTTGCAGACTAGATCTCAATTGCTAAGATTATGTCCCCTGTTGGGCCAAAGTCGGAACTAATGTTCTGTTTACATATACAGTAGATTCCCTGTCAGATCAGTGACACTTAGGCCAAGTTAAATAATAGGCAGTTGTTAATTATTAGTAACCCAGTCATGATGTCAGCAGGAAATTCAAGTTGATGAGAGTAGAATTCAAACTAAGTGTCCGTGTGTTGATGTGTGTGTGCACGCACACGTGTGTAAGGGAAAGAGACAGAGGACAAAGGGCAGATGGAAAAGTTCAGGATGTGGCAGTACAATAATGTGTTTCAATTCCGGTTTTCAGATTCAGAACATTAGCTGCTAAACTATCTTTTATGAGTTCTTGGGACTCTTGTCTGATGTGGTTCCATTTCTTCCATAATCTTATCTGTTTACAAAACTAGGTAGTCAACTCAATGTACAAGTCTAATAAGCTAGGCTTGGCAGAGTTATCCCCAGCTCCTGTTTGGCTCTGCAGCACATAAATGCTCTGTACATTTGACAATTAAGATACACTGATACACAGAGCATTTTCTGTGTGAACTGTAAGGCTTTTTTAGTTTCACATTAGTATGAAGGGTGTTTGCTTGCTGCTAACAAATTAGAGAAACTGCACCAGTATAGGGAAAACCAATCTGAATATTGAGTGGGGCCTTTGCCATTAAAAAAAAATCACAGTTAATCTAAGTTGGTAGAATTTATTTATTTTTCAGATATCTGGAAAGTTCCTATGCATTGTTTTCTTCCATGTACCACTTGTCTAGGAGCTACGCTTACTTCCTAGCTGACCTGGGAGGTCATCCAAGCACTGGGACTTTCTCTCTCAGTTGCCAAGTTCTTTCCAACTTTCCAAAACTTTTGTTGATGTTTCTGGGGTAAGGAAGTGGTTTTTGTCTGAGATGAAGTTCATCTGTGTTTAGAAGGAATCAGTGTTCACAAGCCTGCTTTTAAAACATTGAAGTTCAGAGTCTGTCTCAGCAGCTCCCAGAATTCAGTGCACAATGGCGGTTCCTTTCCCCAGACTTCTGACTGCCATGTCTTTGAATGATACTTTGAAACATTTCTCTAAAAACAAAGTGAAGGGTTCCACGGACTCCAGAGTGACAGTCATAAATATTTTGGAAAGTTTCTTAAGCACAAAAAGATAATTTCCTCTCTGACATATACTTTCCCAATGACTTCTGAGCGCTCCATGAAAGTGAGAATCATGCCTTGCACAGGAAAAGATGCCCAGTGTCCTTAGTCACCTGATGCAAAACAAAACCACAGCAAGAAAGTTCTCACCCCACCCAGATGGCTGTAAAGAAAAGAAACAATAACTGGTATCTGCAGGATGTCTCAGGTGCTCAAACTAACTCAGACCTGCAAGCTATGCATATTATATCAGTGGATAACCAAAACTTGGGGTTGAGTTTTTGTGGATGCCTGGCCTCTTTATTGATACTTAGAAACTAGTTTTCCTCTGGGAAAAGTTGTTCCTGTGGATTATTTCATTTTCTGAGTGGCACTGGAAGGTACTGGAACCGATGGAGAACCGGTTGACCCACTAATGTGCTACGGAGAGAGGCTCTCCTGTTTCTGGGTCTAGCCCAGGTAGCGTTGTTCAGCTGTTTCATGTTCAAAGCTGATTCACTTTTCTTTCCTTCATCTTCCCCTTGTTTTCTGCTTTTTCTAATCTCCAGAACAGAATTATTTTTTTAATTCAAAGTTATATTGAAAGCATTTTGGTGAACTGGCCCCCTGGAGCAAGTCTCTATATGTTAAATTAGCAACTTTGCTCATATTTAGCTTTTTCAAGCCTCAGTTTTTTTCATCTGTAATGTGGGGCTAATAATACTATCATTCAAGAGAATTTACTGGCATTACAAGACATAATCTAGGTAAAGCACTTATCCATTGTTTTCAAAGCACTTCACATTTGCTCTGTGTAGCTGACTGTAAGCAGTTATTCTTCTGACTCTGTCAGGAGTCTGCTACTCTATGTGGCCATTTCTTGTTAGAAATTTAGGATATCACCAAAGTTACTATAAGAACTAAGATAACACATGCAGAACACTTAGCATGTGTCTGGCCTAGGGTAGACTCTTTGTCAGTATCACTATTTCTAAATTATCTGTATTTTACACACATGTATGCTGTGACCACACCATGTTGTTTGTCTTCAGTGTGCCGATTTGCACATCCATGGCCTGACCACACTTCTCTTGTTCTTTCAGCTGCACAATTGGACAGTATTGGCTTCAGCATAATAAGGAAATGCATCCATGCGGTGGAAACCAGAGGTAAAGTAGCCTCCCAGATGGACAGATGGCGTTGTTCTCATGGAAGGTCATGCATCTGTGAGGTAGCAGACCTGCTCCCTGCTGCTCCTCATTTTAAGTAACTCATTAACTCCCCTGGTGTCACTGTGTTTCTACAGATCATGTTGGTCTGAAGTAGGGGTTCATTACCTGTTTCATGTCACCCAGGTCTCTGGTTGATCACAAGAATGTCTTACATGTATACTGATAGAATTCTTAGGCTTCTGGAAACCAGTTCTTGAATCTCAGTTATTAGTAAACAATTGAAAATACAGCCGCAGCAGAGTGGTAGGTAGGCTTCTGTGTTAACAACTTCATTCACAGTGTACAGTGGTGGCTCTCATAGCAGGTATAATCTGAGAAACTTACCATTGTAACCATTCTGTAACCGTATGATTTCTGACCATGCTGCAGGTACTGCTAATACCACTGTGCATTAACATTCATGAGGGAAGGAACTGCACAATGTTAGTGACAGTGAAAATAAAGGCTCTTTTTCCATCTAGTTTATAGACACTGGACTCTCTCCAGGAATCATCTTAGACTCTGTGGACCCCAATAAGGATCTCTGCTCTGCAGACCTGGACCTGAGAACCATCACAGACAGAGAAGGAAGGGGCTAGCTGCCTCCTCCACATTGATGTTTCCCAGATCTATTAGAGCAGGGCATGAGATAGGGGAGGCTGGGTTACTGTAGTCTATCACAAACCAGAATCTTTAGTTCTGGCATTGTAGGGTTTTAAGTGCCCTGGATCCATTGTGGCCTTGAGAAAAGCTGCTAACTATCTCTCCAGTGAGATTGATTAACCAAGTGAATGAGTCTTTATTCTCCAGTATTCTATTATACTTTTTATTTGTTTGAAAGAAATTGTGACTTTTAAAGCAGAGTTATATCCTTACTAGTGGTGAAATAGAAAGAGAGAGGGGTATGCACACATACACACACACACACACACACACACACACACACACACACACACACAGAGGCATGTTAGGGGCAACAGAACATCTTGAGTTCCTGCGCCTTTGTGTCCTAGGAGGCTTCTTCCAAAGGAGTTACTTTAATGTATAGAAGCAGGTTTGTATGTGTGTTTGTTTGGCTTTGCTTTTTAATGTTTAATTATTTCTTCTTGATTGCTGTCATCAAAAAATTAAGACAGATTCTCAACAACTGTACATAAAATATACCTAGAAAGTGCCTAGTAGACATAATTGGAAATTGATCCTGAAATATAAGGGTGTTAGTTGTGTTGAGCCAGAAAAATGTTTACACAGTGATGTGGTTAAAATGCAAAATCAGGAACCAATCAAATGCTAACTCAAGCATGATTCACTTGTGCAATAAAATCTTGTGAATCACAGAAAATATAAATGTTTTTCTCATCTCATATTCACATGCGTTAAGTGAAAAATAGTTTAAAATCGAACAGCTGCTGGGCACTGGTGGCACATGCCTTTAATCCCAGCATTTGGGAGGCAGAGGCAGGCGGATTTCTGAGTTCGAGGCCAGCCTGATCTACAGAGTGAGTTCCTGGACAGCCAGGGCTACACAGAGAAAACCTGTCTTGAAACAAAACAAAACAAAGCAAAAAAACAAAACAAACAGCTGCCCTGCCTGAGCCCATGCTGTATGTCCCCAAGAGGACCTCCTCTGCACAGGTCTCAGTGTGACAGCAATGACTTCTGCTATCTTTTACTCTCTTCTTGTGATTTTCTATTTGCCTAAGCTGTGATGCCTAAGTTTTTAGAGTTTATATTTCTAAGATAATTTTTAAAGAGTTTAGATTTGTTTTTATTAAAAGAAAAGGATAAAATCAGTGTGTTAGTCTGGTCTGTAACCCTGCTGTTCAGAAGGCTGAGATTAGAATTTTGAGAGTTAAAGGCCAGCCTGGGCTACAGAGTAAGGCACTGTCTCAAAAGAACTTATAAGAAAAGGGGAGGAGAACAAGGAGTAAGTTACTGTCTCGAAAAAATTTGTAAGGAAAGGGGAGGAGAACACGGAGAATAGTTAGCACAGGCAAAGGCAGAGCACATATAGACAAGCTAGTGTATTTGCTTAAGGTGGGCTGTGTGTTCATTTGTTTGAGCAACCTAAACCAAGAGGGAAACTGAGTCACCTAAAACTCTTCTCAGGATCTATGATCACTGCAAAACAGTAGCTTGAAAACCTTGTAGGCCACCATAAGAAGTTCTGAATATGATGTACATCTAAGAACCGGAAGGTGTTAAGAGAAGTGATATGAACTAAGTCTCACAATAAGAAGTTCACAGGGGACATAGCAGTTCCTGAGAGATACAAGATGTGATGGACTTGGGCCTACAAGAAAACCATTTTCAATCACTCGGTCTAAATTGTTCCCTGTTGGAGCTGAGAAGATAGATCATTAGTAGAACATGAAGCCTTGAGTTTGATACCCAAAACCCAAGTCAAAATGCTGGGTATGGTGACACACACTTGTGATCTTTATACTGGAGAAGCAAAAACAAGATCTGTAGGCTCACTGGCCACCCAGTGAAACCATATTGATGAACCCTAGGCCAAGGAGAGATCCCATGTCAAAGGAGGTAGATGGCGTCCTAAAGAATATCAGGTTGTCTCCTAGCCACCCTATGCATGTACACACATGTGGACCCACACATGTGACAGGCATAGACCACATAATCCATACATCACATACATGCACATGATTGCCTCCTTTTGTAACTGACACAGAGGCACACTAATCCAGGTATTTAAGTAAATGAAAGTTCTGTAGTTTGAGTTTTGTCTTCGTTTAGCTGTGTCACAGTAAACACCTTTGCTCTAACTGTGATGGATTTTCTGATTTCTCAGTCTTGACAAACATTCCCTAAGATGGAAAATCTCCTTACCCTTCAGTATTTTTTTATGCTGTGTGTAAAAATAGATGGAAAGTTATTTATCTTTTTCTGTGAATGATTTTTTTTTAAAGTCATGCCACTTTGGATTTTTGAATGTAAGAATTGGTTAAATACTACATCTTTAAAACAGTGACTTTTGCATTTTTAAAAATCTTCATCTGCTACCTTTGGCAAGAGAGGTGGGAAGTTTCTTTCCTGCCAGCGCCCCAGCTAAGGCCAGGGCTGGAGTGTGCAGCACATCCGTGAATCCTTAGGCAGCTGTGCCAAATCCCACTCGTTTGCTAAGAGCTAGGCTGAGTGGCAGGGAACTTTAATTACAGCAGCTTTTAGAAGGAGAGAGAAAATGAAGGAAAATACAAGAGCATTTGGCCTTGTTGGCCTGATCATGTTCTGATGTTCATCTAATTAAATCATCATCTTTCCTCTTCTCAGGGATCAATGAACAGGGACTCTACCGAATCGTGGGGGTCAACTCCAGAGTGCAGAAGTTGCTGAGTGTCCTGATGGGTGAGTTCAGCAGTGGCTTTGTCAGGCGTGTCCCTTGGGTAGCTTCCTCTGAGCTTTCCTGGTTCCTAGGTAGCCTCTGGGTTAGGAGTTAGGGTATGCAAATGCCCATGCCCAGCTACCTGCCCTACTTGCTAGTTGTGGCTGTGAGCAGGAGCAGGAGAGGCTCTGAGTGGGCCTTTGTAAGACTGAAATAACATGGCAGGACCAAGTACCTCACAGTGTTTGGACTCAGTGCTCCAGCCCAAGTGCTGCTCGCTCAGTCACATCACTGCCATGCCCTGCTTTGCCATTAATAGCTCATGACTCCTTCTGTCCTCTTTTGAGGCAGATATTCAGTAGGATAAACCCTATGCCCAAGAAAGGGAATCTTTCTAGCCTGTGAAGACCTCGGGGTCTCACATTCCTGACACCCAGGGTGTCGTGTAACCTTCAGATAAAATGTATAGATGCAGATCAAACTCAAGATCTCTCTCCCTTCTAGATTTCAAGCCGTCACTTGATCAGGAAAGCCTCCTCTGTCCCTAGCTGATGTATAAATAGAAAACCACTACCTCCAAATGTGCGCTGTTTGAATCAAAATCCATGAGCCAAAGTTGCCTAGGCTGCAGATATCCTGTATTTTTAGCTATGCAGACAGCCTCAGTGAGTCACATGGATCTAAATGGCAAACAGATCAAATTTCATAGATCAGTGGCTGTTGTCCATGTCCACAAAAGCCATAGCCTAGTACTTGGGAAAATTAACTCTCAGTCCAGCTCTAACATGGCATTTCAGGCGAGGGCCTTTCTCCTGTGTTTGTCACTTCTTTGTCACTCCAGTTTCTGAAAATAGCCTTAGTATGTGGAGAAGTCTACTCCTTTATATGGGCCAGAATGAGGTACTCACTCTGCAGTCAAGATTCCTCGGTATCACGAGTTACACTGAGAGCCGCTCTTGGGAAGCATGGTGTATAGGAGGCCCCTCTACACTCACTTCCCACTCTTCGGTTCCCATGTGGGATGTGGTTTTATTATTTTTAAATTTTTGAAATAATCGTGAGAGATAAATGCCTTGTAAGAAACAATGCAGATGGATCTTTCGTACCCTCTACCCAAATCCCTCCAATTATCACTTCTTAGCAGGCTGTATTTCAGTACTACAATAAGATACTGGCGTTGATACAGCCCAAATGCAGAGAATTTCTACTCTCATAATGGCCTTGGGTTCCTTTTTATATCTATTCCATGCTGCACACACAATCCCTAACTCTGGTGACCAGGAGTTTATTCTTTTTTTCTTTTAATTTTGTCAGTTTGAAATCACTTGTTATATAAATGGAATAGTAGAATGTATAAGACTTGAGAGTTGAATATCTTTTTTTAGTGTACTTAACTATTTCTAGATTTGTTTAACTTGTATGTATCATTGCTCGTTGATTTCTTTTTAACTGCTAAGTAGTATTCCATTGTATGGGCATACCACAGTTTAACCATCCTCCTGCTGCAGGACTTTGGGTTGTTTCCATTTTCAGGCTCTAATGAGTAAAGTTGCTATAGATATTTGGAGAGAATTTTTATGTAAGTATATGTTTATTCTCATAGAATAAGTACCCAAGGGTTCTACTGTTGGGCCATATGTTGATGTGACTTAATTTTGAGAAATTCTAACATAAGGAAGAAGTTAGAGCTTAGCAGGTGTCAGCTTTCAGTCTTTCATTTCTGCTTAGGAACTGGAATAGATTCCTAGATGATAATGGTGTTAAATTTTAGAAAGAACTCTCTTGTCATTCTGCAGAGTCCTGGTAGGGGTGAGATATGCATGCAACTTAAAGCTGTTCACCTAATGCTTGAATCTAATCTTTCTACTGCTATGCTGCACACACTTGATTAGCATAGCAACCATTACTTCAGGAAAGTATTCTTCCCTTTCCTCATTAATAACCCTGCTCTGTCCATAAGCTTCCCTGGGCTAGCCTTATCCCTACTCCCAGGCCCAGACATAGGCACGAGCTCTAGGCCATGTGCAGCCATCTGTTGAGGATAATGTGATTGGCTCCAAACTGAAAAGTTTATCATGTGACTGGCCTGCACTGGCCAATCAAAGTCCTCCCTGTGGCCTACTGCCAAAACTATCTAAACGTGTTGTTAGCACTTAATATGACCTGAATCTGGAGCAGGAATAGTAAAGGAGAGAGAATTCAGATTGAGCAAATATGAGCAATAGCATGGGCAGAGGTAGGATGCAGGGGAAAGGCAGAAGCGATCTGATGCTGTGGGCTTGTTTTTACTATCTGAGAGAGCTGCTTGGGGCTGAAAGAGGACAGTTAGTGCTGTGAAGCTAAGGTAGTCTTTTCTGCTGACAACCTAAGTACTGTGCTGAAAAGCTTAAACACTCTCCCCCACCCCCAAAAGAGATAATGTGCTCTTAAAAGTTCTAAATGGGCCAGGCTGTGGTGGTGCACACCTTTAATCCCAGCACTTGGGAGGCAGAGGCAGGCAGATTTCTGAGTTTGAGGCTGGCCTGGTCTACAGAGTGAGTTCCAGGATAGCCAGGGCTACATAGAGAAACCCTGTCTCAGAAAAAAAAAAGTTCTAAATGGTAGAGATACAGACATCAAGGAAAGAGTCAGGAATAGGATTTAGAATAGTTTACAGAATAAAAGGTATGTGCTAGTCGCTGGTCCATCCAAGAAGATGACTGCATTCAGGGTCCTTACTAGGAGGCCTTTCCATTCCCTTCTTCCTTTCAGTTTCTCATTATCCATGTCCTTTGCTGGCCTTGGCTTTGGCTTTGTTCTCTCTGGGAGTGTCCCAAATAGACCCAGTCACTGCAATCTTTGGAGCTTGCATCACTCAGAAGAGTGTCTTTCGGGTGACAGTTTTGGCAGTAGGCCACAGGGAGGACTTTGATTGGCCAGTGCAGGCCAGTCACATGATAAACTTTTCAATTTGGAGCCAATCACATTATCCTCAACAGATGGCTGCACATGGCCTAGAGCTCGTGCCTATGTCTGGGCCTGGGAGTAGGGATAAGGCTAGCCCAGGGAAGCTTATGGACGGGGCAGGACTATTAATGAGGAAAGGGAAGAATTCTTTCCTGAAGTAATGGTTGCTATGCTATTGAAGTGTGTCTGGCATAGCAGTAGCAAGGTTAGATTCAAGCATTAGGTGAACAACATAACAGAATGTAGCACATGTATGTTGTCATGGAGGGCCCTGGAAGATGGCAATAGGTGAGGCAGAGAATACTACATCTAGGGCTAGACCAAAGAGCTTTGGCTTAGTAGTCAGTATTTTATATAGGGAGAGCACCAAGACGAGCTTCAAATGGAATTCAAAGATGACAATGTGAGGTGACACTGTTGAAAAGAAATGCAGTGTTTTAGAAGACTGCTAGTCTAAGGCAGTCCACTTTGGACATAGGAGATGCTCTGAAAGGCAGCGGTTCTAATCACTGTTCTCCGCAGCTCCCCAAGAAGGAATTGCCCTTGCTCTCTTCCTTAGTCATCCTAGATATCGAGGACAGTAGTCATGACTATCTGAAGAATGTCATGGAAGAGTAATAACTAGCAGTTGACAGTCACAAGGCTAACTCCTCTGCCAGGAGGACATTCCAGATAGACTGGAATATAAATGATCCTCTGGGGTAGAACTGACTACAGAATAAGGTCAAACCTAGTGCCAAGAATTCGACCTGTGAGTCTCTCTATCACTCCAGGGAATCTAGTACTCTTGTAGTTGTCAGGCCAGTGCACTAGATCTGCCTCCCTTTCCTCTTTCGAGTATGCTATTAAAGCATCCTCCTCAATTCTTGGTACTGATGCAGGCCTGGCTTAGCCAATAGTATAGAATATAATCTGCTATAGACCACAAACTCTTCTGGGCTCAATGGGCAGCACATACTCACTCCTGTCTGTTTTCACCCTTTTCATACCAAGCTATATGCAGATTCCACATTGCTTTCACTTGTTCCAGTGCTTTCCTAAGTGGATTTGTGTGCTCTGCTATGGCAAACATGGCCTGGGGTTAAAACCAGACACCAACTTCAATCACTTGTTCCTTTCTTGTATTCATACTTCACTGCACTGCAGACTGTAGGTGGGATGGGGAGTAAGAGGCAATGTGTTTAGAATATCTTTGTTTTACTGATTAGAGTTCCTTAAGAAAGCTTATTAGAATTCATCATAGCCTCTGCAGTGTCCCCTGCACTTCATGCTGGTGTCCTGCCAAGAACCACCCTGTTTACTTCCTAGCAACAGAGGTTAATAGTATTTGGGTAGTAAAAAAAGACTCAGTGAACTTTCAGACTTTCTGAAACAGAATGTATGTACTGCTCTGCTTCCCTCATTCTATTAATATTTTCCAAACACCACATATACAAACAGCACCACATTCTCCTCCTACACACTCATCAGCTACATTCTTGCTCATTACATGTCTCTCTTCCTTTCCATCTCTGTATGTTTTTAAAATTAAGCTACATTGTGCGTGTATATGTGCGTGTGCATGTGCACACATGCAGGTATATGTGTGGAGGGAGAAAAGAGGACATGTGGGTTTATGTTTTCTTCTATTATGTTTGTCCCAGGTAGGAACTCAGGTTGTCAGGCTTAGAGGCAAGTACAGTACACTGAGTCATCTTGCTGACCTCTACCCCCTTCTAATTATTTTAAGTAATTCAATTCTCTTCTTTGTTTAAAAATTATGAGTAGTCATTGGTGAAATTTCACAAAAATACAAAAAGCATAAAGAAGAAAATAAGAGTCCTTTAGAGCAGAGACAGACTTTATTGGTTGCTTTATTGCACATGAGACCTTTTAATCATAGCCTTCTTTAAACCACATATACCTGCACATAGTGAGTGAGTAAGCATCGCATACTGTGTAATACGGTTACAACACAGGGCACACATTCCTAGGCTTTCTACCAGGCTGTATTCACACAACACTGTAGTGTCTTTTCCCATGTTAATTCCTCCTATGCTCTTGCAGGTTCACTTCTTGTAGATGCACCAGTGCCCCT